TAAAGTCAACCTGGTTAGTAATAAGTGAAGCTGGTAATGCTGTTTGTGCAGTTGTTTAATCAGATCTTGAGAGATTTTGTGTATTTTATCTTCAGTTGATTTCATCTAAGGCTGTGGCTGGAAGTAGTTCTTGTGTTTCTCTTTCCTTCAATGATTCTGCTTGTTAACAATGCTCAATCATTATATCAATTAATTATCTCATTAACTCCAACACTGATATGTGTTACATTTAACAGCCTGTAGTGTGCACACTGAGCAGTGTTCATTTCATCTGGGCAAACCCATGTGGGGCCTACATGGAAACCGTGGACAAAACTGGCTGGGTCCCAGTTAGATAGCCCAGGTCAAACCCATGTGGGCCCCACATGGCTGTGCTGGCTGGGATTGCAAGAATGAGATTAAAGATTATGAGGGCACATTATTATTATTATTTTTTAAATAATTATGTGCACGGATAACTAAGTTATAATAAATACAACAATATTCTATAAAAATAAGAATTGTTCATTTTGACTTAGGGAACATAAGGCGCAAGTGTGAATGAGAAAGAGACTTTCACAAGCGCAAAAGTGGATAGAAACAAAGGCAGTCTGAAGTGTTGACTATCCGTGTGCATGCTCTGTGTCACAAGCGATGAAATAAACTAGCCTGCCTGACTAGCCTCCAGCCTGCTTTGTTCACTCATTTGACGGCTCATCAAAATGCAGTTACCTCTCGAGGTCTCCAAGTTGGTGCTGCCAACAGCACCTGTGGCAAGAGAAATTATAAAAACAAAACGACACGCTCGCTCAATATTTAACGCTGTGTGGACTGCGTGCGTAATGTGAAGTGAATCCCCTCAAAGCGTTCAAAATTCACAAAGAATTAAATCAGACTTTATCTATGAAGAAAGAGTGAGGGTCAAATTGAGTGTAGCCTACGAGGTATCGTGAAATAAGTCAGAAAGGGGTTTGACTGCCCATATGTAGCCTATCGCACCACCTCCTCTGTATGCACGCAGGCATGTAATACATAAATTAACCATGCATACTAGATGTATTAATGCAGACATTCACAAATATTTAAACATGATGTTGCTTCCAGGCAAAACTGTCCAGTCAGCAACAGCTGCATGATGTCACCAGTAATAATGATCTAACTCTGCCTCAGAGCAGCAGCACTTCCTTCAGAATGGGAGTGTTGGAATGTTCACTCGGCTTTTATAACTCTTAGTAATCGGACTGCGCTACTTGCTATGTTTAATTATTTGTTTAATCATCATTGGCCGTTACTAACAACTTAAGTTTAGACTCATAAAGACATGACAAGAATCTAGGTATTTCCCTAACACTCCAAAAAATAATTTTCATCCTCAATGTTTTTGTCTTGTTTTTTTTTTTAGTAAACAAATCAAAATGCAGTTAATTGAGAAACAAAAGACATAATTTAGCAAGTTTTGTTTTCTGAAAAAGGTATTAAAATGAAGGGACTTCACACTTAAAACAAAAATGTCTACCAATGGGGTAAGGAAAATAAACCTGTTTTCATTTTAAATTAAGTTTATCTACAAAAAAAAATACAGAGAAACTAAAACTCTCTCTCTCTCTCTTTTTATTTTTCAGTGAAAGAGAACGGCTGCCGGTGACCACTTGATGGTGCTGTCAAGCAGCCAATGGTGGTCTCTGTCTGTACCAGAACTTAATAAAAGATGAAACATAAAACATAAAACAGCACAAGGACATATACCATTCAGCTCTCAATGAAGGTATTGTGTCTCTGGACGGTTAACCACAGCACACAGTGGACATCAGCTGGTGCATCTACAAAAAGCACTAAGGCAGAAGTGTTTCACGAAGGTTGTAAGAGAATACATTGGTTTTGGAGCAAGATCATTGGGAAATTAGGCACTGTGTAGGCTATTTGGTTATACCTTGGACTCATGGCTCTTTATTGACACATGCAGCTATCTGACACTTGCACTCAAAAACTGCTATTTGTTTGCCAAAAATGCATTTTACTTAGTTGGATCAAGAATAAACCCTCTTTGATTCGTTTGAGAAGATCTTCAAAATGCTTCCATTTATGAGATTTAGTGCTTCACTTAAAAGGGAATGTAGATACTATACCTTTCGACATATTTGGTCTCCTTTTGTTTCCTTGCAGTTTCTGATCTGATGTGCTATTTGAGGGTGGTTTGTTTGTTTTGATTTGATCTAATTTAAGTCTGCATGATGATCTTATTTCCTGTTAAAAACAAACAAAGAGTGCCTGATGAAGACCTGAGGGTCGAAACGTTGCCTTTTAATACATTCTTTTGGAGCAGTTATTTTCAGTTTGCGGACTTCACACTTCTTTATTTGTTTATATCACTTAGTTGTCCTGCACCTGAGCCCAATTTGGGTGTTTGGGATGTGCACACCATTTTTGTATTTTTTAAATACAAATAAAGATTCATTAAAAAAAGAAAGACACTGCATCCATTGTTCTCTACTTTTTATAATGATAATTTAATCCTACATTTAATTTACCCATACATTTGACTTCATGGATTGAAGTCATTGTTTAGACTTCTTTGTAAAGAATGATTCAATCAACAAGTAAAAGCGAAAGAAGTCTGGTACAAAAACATTTTATTACAAAATAATGACTAATTATAAGAAGAGTAAGGTATATATCCATTAGGGTTAAATAAATAAATAAATGTTTGTTTATATATCTAAAACTATAGGCATACATAGCCTACATCCATATATAATAATACCATTTAAAAGTTTGGGGTCAGTACTTTTTTATGTTTATGTTTATGAAAGAAGTCTCCATGCTCACCACAGCTGGATTTGTTGGATCAAAAATACATTAAAAAAACAGTAATATCGTGAAATATTATTACAATTTAAAATAGCTGTTTTCTATTTGAATATATAATTTTTTTTTTATATATTCATGTGTTGGCAAAGCCGTATTTTTAGCAGCCATTACTCTAGTCTTCAGTGGCATGATTCTTCATAAATCACTGAAATATGCTGATTTGGTGAATTAAGAAAAAATTATTCTTATTATCAATGTTGAAAACAGTTGTGCTGGTTAATATTTTTGTTTGATTCTTTGATTAATAGAAAGTTTAAAAGAACAGAATTTCTGTCATGACAACTCTGACAAATGTTTGGCATGGTGATGGCAATGGGTATGACAATGTTATAATATATTTGGTCTTGGTGAATAGATCTGCTACGCTGCTGCTGCTGTTATTGCTGCTGCTGCAGAGCAAGTGGACTTGCTACTGCCAATACATAGCCTACAACACGCTGATGTGAGCAAGTAAGACACGCTGCAGCTGTACAATATAGCATATAGCCTACATGAATTAGCCCGTATCAATATGAGAATGAGAATGTGACGTCACGCATTTCACTCCGCGTTGCATTGTGGGAAGGCGTCGCCATTTTGGAAGGATACGCTATCCGTTGTCATGGTTACTTTGACCGTCAGACTGAGAGATTGGAGCTTTAAATTTAATATCTAAATTTCTATAATTAATTTAAAAAAAAGTGAGCATGTGCTTGCGATTGATTCAGTGAGAGTGAGGGCGGGGCCTTGATTTCGCGGCTTTACTTCCTGCTCACGACTGCGCATGACTGGTCCCGAGATCGCTACTGCGCAGACTCAAATTCCAAGATGTCAGCGCCATATCGGGACACTGGCGGCTTCACTTCTGACCAATGGAAGAGAGCGAAGGGGTGTCGTCCATCTTTTTTTACAGTCTATGGTTGCCCCTGGCAACCGATAGCGTCTCCAAACATCATGGCCGACCGGCTCAGAGCCCGCCCAAATCAACCCAAATCGGCACGTGACTCCTCACTCTCAATACCAATCTCACAGCAATTCCTACGAATTTTACGAGGTGGCTAATTCGTACGAATTCAATTCATACGACCAAACTCATACGAATTCGTACGATTTTTGCTAAATCGTAGCCTATACATATTTTAGGAGTTGCCCAATTCGAATGAATTCGTACGAAATACGAATGACCTACCCCTGGCTGACCCCGCTTATACCCATCACTGGGGTTTAGACAAATCATACGAGTGAGGTCGTAGCCAACTTTTACTCACTCGTACGAATTCGTACAAATTGGTTGTGAGATAGAGTTGTCTATACAGGTGGAGCTGAGGAAGGTGGAGGGTTTTTGAAAGCGCGCTGTAAATGTAAATGTATTTTAAGGTTGAGCATGCGGGCTCATTTGCTACTGATTCAGCTGGACCAATCAGCTGCGCCTGTGCCCTATTGAGAATGATGTGATTGCAAGGTTTTGCCTGTGCCATCTAGTTTCATGAGAGAATTGTATTTATTAAAAAAAAAATTATCAAACTTTTGATCAATTTAATTCATCTCTGCTGAATAAAAATAGGGCTACAGAATAGGGCTTTTACGAAACCAGTTCTTTTACACTTTTACTTGAGTAAAAAGCTTGAGTTGATATTTCAACTTCTACAGAAGTCTTTTTAAACCCTAGTATCTATACTTTTACTTGAGTAATGAATGTGAATACTTTTGAGACCTCTGGGTGAGCATAAGAGACTTTTATAAAAAAAATAAAAACCATTGAACGGGAGTGTAGGCTATATTAAATAATATTGTAAATTACTAACCTATACCTACTATTGGCTTAATGTAAATAAAGCACATCGCCCCAACTGTGACCTCGAGATGGATGGAAACACTCAGCATGACGAACTGCTGCGTCCCAATGTGCATACTATGCCCTAAATAGTATTGACAATTCCTAATGTCACATACTATTTAGGATGGATAGTATGCACATTGGGACGCAGCTTAAGCGCTGCGTTTTGTGCGTAATGTAAACTACTGTTCAAGCGTCATGACGGTAAATGACAAGACGAAAGCCAATCAAATCGTGGGATTGGCCATCTGTAGTCTTTGCTGTCAGCAAAATAATCCAATTAGCAAACACGCCTTGTGGAGTTTTGGCCAATCATCGAGCCACTTGAAGAAACTATCCCTCCCCTTCATCAAGACGCACAAGACTCTGAACCAAAGGATATCTTGGCCTCCCTACAGAAGCTGATTATTCGGATCTATGTAATGATTTATCCCACACCATGATCCCATATTGATACGAAACTTAAAAAGATTTAGACAACAAGTGGATAGATTTGTTCAGGGACATCTGCGTTGGCGTCAAACATGCGCAAAAATTCACGCTATCAAAGCAGAGAATCACCGTAAACGGAATGATCGTTTCTCACGTGAAGTCACCCTGATTGTTTGTTTTTAAAGGAAGCGACAAGCATATCGACTCCGAAAATATCCGCAACCAAGAGAAAGAAGTGGGAACGAACGCTGACATCCACAGAATATCTGGAAATGTAAGTATGGGGACGTGTGGGCCTCGGGTTTGTTCGACGAGAGCTCGTGCTAAGCTAACCAGCGCGAGCCTGCGCGTGATTTCATTGCTAAGTATGAGGCTTGTTGTGTAACGAGCGAGTTGACACACAAGCGCAGTTAAAACGATATTAGACTGACATTACCGCCTACTTTCCGTTTGGATAGAACAAAGAACCACTGTTGTTGTTATTGTGTGTAGGTTCCGAGTTTTATTGCTTTTGTTTGTCCGGTAGCTGCGACAGATAAACAAGCACGCGTCAGAAATAATCCCATCGGCTCGTGCTCACTGTTAGTAAGAATTCATTGCATTATGTAATCATCTCGGCTCCTGTAGCTTTCCTTCTGTTTCTCTGACATTTTTGAAGCTTTTCTCACTCAAACTTGACGTTTCATTTGTCCTTTAAACCTACAATGTGTTGGCTCACATTTCACCTTGATTTCATGCTTACCATAGTTGGTTAACGTTACTTTCGCCTTACTGGGTGTTTACAAGGACGGCCTGATTTACGTTGAAATCTTTGCTGTTTAGCTCTCGCAAGGCCTCGTAATTTATAATATTTACTAATATTATTTTCACAGCTAGTATTGTTAGATACAATATAATGTGATTCATACTTCAGATAAAGCGTTGGTAATATGTCTCCTAACTGATATCAGGAGTAGCAATTAGCAAAAGCTCGAATGGATATACATTTGGAGACGTTCATGATGATTAACAACACTTTTACTTGATATATCTGGCTTAAAGTCGAATGGTGGCAAAAACTTTGACTGTCTTCTGTTCTTCCATTACCTCAGTTTTGTGGTGCATAGCATAGGCCTACTCTTTTTTTTTTTTTATTCTTTTTTAAAAATCTTTAATACAGTTTTTAGGTGTCATATCTGATGAGAAATCGTTCAAATCTTAATTTCATAGCAATACTTAATACATCTTAATTAATAATACATCAAACTTCACTTAGTTCTAAGCATTGTGGTACATGCTTAAAAATGTATAGTCGAGTGGCCTTTTGCAAGTGCCGTTTCATATCTCATGTGGGATGACTTAGATTTGTAATCTTTTGCTTGACTGAGTTTAACTATGAGTTAAGTTTCAGAATGTGTTCTTTGATACACTTCCAAAGTTTAGGGTCAGTATGATTTTTTTTTTTTTAAAGGAACATACTTTTATTTAGCAAGGATGCATTAAATTGATTAAAAGTGACAGTATAGCCATTTATAATGTTAGAGTAACTGAAACACACACTTGACACAGTGTCTCATCTGCAAAGAGATTAAAGGTCTGATTATAACTGTAGATAAAGGGCTTTGGGTCACCACTTGTTAACTCGATCGGTATAACTGTGGACTGTAGACATGACGACAGCAGTTAATGCTTTCTTTATCATGATTGAACACTGTGAAACTTTGACCAAGCCTGCTGTTCAGAGAGAGTGCCGAGTTTGCGGTTGTTCATCTAATGCTGATTGCTAAAGGATGGATTTGCACAAGTGTGGAGGACAGTGTGAGGACAGATGAGTGGACCCCTTTCTTTGCTCAGTGGCTTCCTTAAAGTCCGTCCAGTATTGGCAGGAACCGAAGCACAAGTCTACCATGCAGATCTCTTGTGATGGAGATGGAATGGCGAGCTCTGTGGGAAAATACTCGCTGTGCGTTTGTGGAAGTCGTAAACTCCCTCCTTTATCACTTGCTGTGAATGGGGTAGTTCATGTGAAAATGAAAAATGTCGTCATTTACTGTCCCTTTATGACGTTACAAACCGGTATGATTGATTTTCTTCTGCCGAACAAAAAAGAAAATAATAAAAGTTCTTCAAATTATCATCTTCTTTCATTCTACAAACGAAAACAAAGTCATACAGGTTTGGAACGCCATGAGGGTGAGTAAATGGTAACAGAATTTTCATTTCCGGGTTACTGCTGTGTAGGCTTTAGGGGTGCACGATATTACGATATTGCGATATCGATATTAATTTCGATGTTTTTAAACATGTAAAATTACAAGTTATGGGAAAACCCATCAAAATAGATTCATAACAAATAAAACAAGTTTTCTTACAACACAGTTTATTTCAACTGACAGTCATATTGGACTGGTACAACATGAATAAATAAATAATAACCATGTCTACAGAACAGGACATGTTTTACTGGTTGTACAGTATAAAAAACAATAAATAAAGAGCAAGTCTACAGAACAGGACATGTTAGATACAATAAAAATAATCTAAAAAAACAAGTAAAAAGAAAATGTCATGAGAAACACTAAACCGGGCCCATCAACAACCGTGTAACCTTTAGAAGGCAATTTACACTTTCCCCGGCAACTTACAGGTAGAGGTTTCGCCGTATGGGCTGTTTACACCTGGCCACTTCATGTGTTTTCTGTGATCGGATAGCTATCCTATTGTGAAAACTAAGACCAGGTGTAAATGCCCTCCGAAACTCATTCGAGACGGGTTTGAATCATAGACTAAAAAAATATGGACGACGCCCCTTCGCTCTTTTCCATTGGTGAGAACTGAAGCTGCCAGTGTCCCGATATGGCGCTGACATCTTGGGACTTGAGTCTACGCAGTAGCGATCTCGGGACCAGACCTGCGCAGTAGTGAGCAGGAAGTAAAGCCGTGAAATCAACGCTCCGCTCACACTCTCGCAGAATGCACTCTCCCTGCACTTTTTTTAAGTGGCCTATGTCTGCCCCGTTCCTCCATTCTGCTCCAATTTTGATGTCTGTTGTTTGCAGTACAAAAGGAGGCTTGTTAAAATAAAGTAAATACAATCTCCTCAGTCCTCTGAAGATCCCGGAAAAAAGTCCATTGGTGCTTCAGTGACTACTTCGCTCAGAGAACCTGTCAATCACAGCGGTCAATCATGACGTTACACCACCGTTTTTATAGCATCACGTAACGAACTAAAAACAAACTTATTTTAAAAACAGACACTTGAACTTACATCAGCGTGATAAAAATGACAGCAAATGACAGAAACCACCTTTGGAAAAAAGATATTTGAAGTGTAATTTAATTGTTTAGTTGGTCTCACGTCCCGTTGAAAAACACGGGGAGGCGGGGTTTATTACCTATACTAGGACCAGTCACCGGGGGATGATCGAGACGTTTTGGCTTCACTTTTCAGGGGTTGTACGGCACGCTTGGTTTGAATTCGATCGCTCAAATCACATCGTCTCGATCACCCCCCGGTGACTGGTCCTAGTATAGGTAATAAACCCCGCCTCCCCGTGTTTTTCAATGGGACGTGAGACCAACTAAACAATTAAATTACACTTCAAATATCTTTTTTCCAAAGGTGGTTGCTGTCGTTTTTATCACGCTGATATAGCGCGGGAACTGAAGATCGGATTAAATCAAATCATGCAACGCTACCAAGCGGCACGTATTTTTCGAGAGGTGCATGTCGGACGGGACACATCAAACAATCATAAACAAAATATTGAATAATTATCGCAAGACTTTTGATATAATATCGGCAACGTGATATCGCGATAACGATATTGAGTCGATATATCGTGCACCCCATACGCAATATATTGTTACACCCATAAAAGTTAGTAATTAAAATAAAAAAGCAAAGCAGCGCATTACATGTAACTGTACAAGTGGCAGGTCTTTTGCATACTTTAAGCGCAGATTTATTTTCACATCAGAATTTTTTCCCCGTCCGTTGTCAAACTTCACAATTTCAGATTCAAATTATCCATTTAAATGTTGTTGTCACTCCCGAAACTTTTAAGTGTGTACTTAGCAGCATGAAAAATAAAACTTTATTTATTTAGTGCTCTCTTTATATTCAATGAAGCTGATATATTACTTCAGTTCTGCTGTAGCACAAGCTCACTGATTCAGTGAAAACTCAAATTAAACAGATGTAAACAAAATGATTCGCAATATAAAGTTGGTTTTAACCAAGACTCAGCTTACTGTCTTTACATGGTATAATTTCACACAAAAATGCCAATTCTGTCATCATGTACTCTCCCTCATGTCGTTTTAAATAGGCTAAGATTTTCGTTCAACTTCCAAACACAAATGAAGATTTTTTTTTTTATGAAACCTGAGATTTAAAGTCCATTCCTCTAAAACTTAAAAGATCCAAAAAATTTCATAAAGGCATCGTACAAGTAATCAATCAAGTTGTCTCATCCAAATCCAAGTCTTCTGAAGAGACATGAGGGCTTTTTATGATGAACAGATTTACAACGGTGTGCATATAGTAAACACGGACGTTCAAATGTTTCCTTGACACGCGAAAACAACATGAGTGAGTGTTTCAAAGCGTTTTAAATGGTTTATTCTTATGTGTGTAGTGCATTAATAGCGGGAGAGGCAGGACATGAAAGCGCAAGTAATGTGTGAGGAAAAAATTAAAGTTTACGGAGTTTAGTGACATTACTACATAAAACTACAATATAATATAATATAATATAATATATAATGCTGTGGGGGAATATTTGTGGGTCCTGATAATAATAATAAAAACTTTATTTTGGCTTAAAATATCCTGATAGTATCGTATCAAGATCAGTATTGTGATTTGAATTGAATCGTATAGTAAAAAACAATCAGCCTACTGCGCTGTAAATCTTAAGTCTTTATATTTTGTTGGTTATAGAGGGAATGCATTAACGTCGCTTTCCCGCCGGAACACGCCCCCCTCAGCCGGACTGAGTGGCAAAAGAGCTGCTGCGTGACTGGAGTTGATAGTGGAAACTGCGAAAACGCGCGTAAAACAAATTATTATCAGTTTAAACTAAAAGTTGGACTCGATATAGTGTTCCTTACAACTTATCAAAGATCCAGTGATCCATGTATATTGACATGCAGCCAGGAATCGTGTTTCCTGACATTTATATGTGCCTGATTTCGACGCCGGGGAAATTAAGAAAATTTGCCTGTAAACGTTTTATATAAATACAATATAGATGGGTCTAAATCCGAGTGATCACTTACATTAATGTTATA